GAAAAATTTCTTTTCTTTTTAAAAAGTAAATCTAAGTTGAAAAAGCCTAGAACTTCTTGAAAATGGTTTGTTTTGTGAGTTATTTTGTATAATTAAGCTTTCTATAAATATTTAAAACCGAAAATCGATAACTGTATTTTTATTAAGTTTATATTTTATACTTAAATATTTAAAATTTAGCGAGCGCATTACTTTTATGACAGGTTTTACATCACTTTTCACAATGTATTTAAAGTCGCACGTCAATTTGCGCTTTCCAACCGATTAAACATTGCGCGAAAAAGTCGGAAATATTATATCTAATTTCGCCATGTTGCAATTTTGATAGTTTATATTTTGTAAGCCATTAAACATGAAGTCTATTAGTATTAAGAGAATTGCGTCCTATGTTTGTAACGCTTTAGTATTTTGGTTTTAAAATAGCATTACTAAGAAAACTATCATAGACTATAAATTATCTAAAAACTATCTACAAGACTAAATAAAAACTGTCTACATTCTACCATGGACCAATAACCCAAGAGGACTGCTAATCTCCATATTAAAAATCGTAGCTCTGAAAAAGGTCAAAATTCCGTCTTATTTCTAGATGGCGCTGATCGATAGCCTGGAATTAGTTTATATTTACGTAAATGGCCATGGATATCGATTAACTCCTCTTTTATAGGAAATATAGTAGATATTCTATTTTTCTTGTAATGTTTTTCAAATATTTAGTAATAAACTAAAATTATTCTCTGAACTTCGATATTTATGCGTATCAATAGATGGCATTGTTCGTTGTTAACTAATTAATAACGTAACGCTTGCGAATATAGTTAGATGGCGCAAATCCTAAACAAAATAAAAGAATACTTGGAAGTATCTATAAAAATCTGAGCAATATAGTATAACCTAAAGGAAGTCTAAATTGTCATCCGTTTGCGGTGGCGCACAGTGGGCCCAAATTGATAATTCTTGGACATAGGAATAACTTGTGGAGTATCGAGCTAATTTTTTTATGTGATAGACAATAACACTCCTATATAACAACTTTTATTCTTGTATGATTTCTTGAAAAGTTGATAGTTTCAGAGAAAAAAAATTTAATTTTTTTTTGTGGAGAAATATACATTTTGTTCTTTATCTCAAAATATACGAAAATGTAGTGTGCGTGGGTTACTTACAGTATAGTTCCAATCATTTTCTATGTAGAAAAAAATAATCCATCTGCATGTACTTGCGGCTTTGTAAGTAGAGGTGCGGCAAAATTGCTAACTCTTTTATGTACTTTTTTAACAAAATACATGAGCTTCGACTAAAGAAAATTTAATTTTAGTGCTAAATTACACAGAGCGTTATAACAATAACACGAAAGTTAAGTAGAAACTAGTATATTGTGTTTTATTTTTTAATAAATAACAAATCTAACATTTTGACATCTTTTTACTCGTAAAGCCGCAAGTACCTGCTGATGGATTGTTTTTTTCTTGATAGAGAATTATTGGACTTATACTGTAAATAAAGCACACATTACATTTTTCTACAATTTGAGATAAAAAAATAAAATGTTTATTTCTCCAGACAAAAAAAAAACTAAAATTTTTTTTCTGAAACAATCAGCTTTCCAAGAAATTACATAACAATAAAAGTTATCAGGAATGTTATTATGTATCATGTGAAAAAAATCAGCTCTGTATTCCTAAAATTGTATCATGATTAAATAATTATTTAGCCTAAAATTTATACTTTTTATTTCCGTTATTTTTAATTACCTTCAGATTAATTTATACTGGGTTGTTGGACTTTATGCACTGTTTGTAATGGATGACATATTACACATAGATTACACGAAGCTCATGTATTTTGTTTAAAAAGTACATAAAAGAGTTTTTATGTACAATTTTGCCGCACCTTTATTTACAAAGCCGCAAGTACATGCAGACGGATTATTTTTTTCTACATAGAAAATGATGGGAACTA